CTTTTTGGCACCAAGTACCTTTTTCCTCTGATAACGGAGCAGGCGGCTTGCTTGGTCTTGCAATGCATCCTCGGATAACCAAGGATAGAGATTATACACTGGACCCGTCCTTCAAATCGGGCAAAAAGAAGGACGCATTTGTTGGCCGCATAATGAGGAGTCTTGGAATCCGACCAGACCTCAGCGCCGCCTTATGACGTAATCAGCCTTCAAATCTGGCCTTCGGAGGACACATCCCATGAATTCCAACGCACCCAATGGGCAAAAACTTTTGCACCCTAGGGCGGAAATATGTCACCAATCCAACAAAAAAATTAAACAATGCTATATATATATATATATATATATATTTATTTATTTATACCCACCTAATTTATAACCACCCACCCGCCATAGCGCCCTTTATTGACCAGCCGCCACTGAGTTTCATGTGTTTTGGGTTGAAGCCAGATGCCAAATAATGAAATTTTTTAACTTTATTCTAAAAGGCAGCATCTTCAAACATCCAGGATTTACAGGATATATATGTGTAAAAAGATTGATTGCAAGGAATATTTACTCAGTTGTAAATTTAAAGTAATGCAGCAAAAAGAGATTTAAAAATGCTAAATACAAAAGAAAATTAAAAGAATAATGTGCTTCATTTGAAAAAATAGACATTCATGAATTAACTGTATCAAGTTTTAAACTAAGCAATTGAATCAGGTTGACCCAGCTTCATATTTTAAATCTATAAGTTAAAAACTAAAATAAATTAATGTTAATTACTTGTTACAAATTGAATCAAATGATTTAAGTCGGAGCTGCCTTTTCTTTTTAGAATGTGCAGGTTCACACATCGCAGCAAACCTGTGGGAAGTTTAATGAGGCTTTTTAAATTCCATCCTTTTGTTATAAAAATTCATTACTTGATTCATTAAAATAATTTCTTACAAACTGACTAACACTAGTGGAAGATTTTATACGACATGCAACAAGTGTTTTCTATTCATGTGACATACAGTACACGATCTTTAAAACCCCTTGGTTAGATAGAAATGTTTGCCTCAGAGCTTATTTATGCATCTGCAATTACATAGGCTATATTTTAAACCATCAATTACATACAACAGACAGGCTGCAGTAATTTTTTACATGCAGCTATGTATAATGTACAGTGTATAGTTATACTCTTAAGCACAGCTATTTCAACAACAATTTGCAGCATGTTTACCATAGATATTGGTCTTCAAGTATTTATTTTTTTCTTTTTAAGATACAACTTTGACTTTTTAGAATTCCAAAGCTGAATTGAAAACACTGATTCACAAAATCTTGAATAGATTAGTAGTAGCCTTAGTGCAAATCTGACTGACATAGAAAAACACAACGCTTGGCATTTATATGTTAATTACCATAGATGGCATGGAGACCTAAAGCCGACTTTAAATCTGAAGTTTAATTTTCATTTTCTATAATGCAAGTGCAGAGACACAGACGACAGAGGCTCCAGAACGAGAAGAAAGATTTTGTAATAAGAAAGTAGGGGAGATAAGAGCCTTTCTTATATATATTTTTTGCTTGCCAGAAACTGATTGGTGAAAATGTTTTTCTAAAACTAATCACATTTGCGGGCTCTGATTGGCAGGAAATTAACTTCAAAAATGCATCTCAAAGATCCAGACAAACCTATGTTTGAATTCAACCACCCACCTTTTCCTTTGAATAAATTAAACTTCCACGCTTGCAGCATTTTATTTATTCATAGTTTTTGCTTTTCTCTCTGACTTTGTAGTTTTGGATAGTCATAGTTAATTTGAACTTGTTCCCACAAAGCCTTTTATTTTTGTTTCAATAGCTGTCTGCGTTCCAATTCAGATATTCAGGTTGAAAGGTCAACACCTTCTTTGTCAGAACCTCTACAGGCACATGTGCTCAGCATCAGCAAAATAAGAAGAAAAATTTCAGCAATAAGTGACTTTACCTTGATCCTCTTGTATGATTTAAATGAAATGTTAGAGATTGAGATGTGAGAAAAATGTGCTCAGTCACCTGCTGCCATGGTCACAGTCATTACCCCTCACAGACTAAGGGAAAGCTAAAGAGAGCAGAGTCCTTGAGCTAAACTGAGGTCTATTACCAGCCTATAACAACAGTTCACCCTTATGTGGGCCATGTTGCACATACACTGTCATTAAGTAGCTTTGTTTCTATGAGGAATCACCGCCTTGCAAAACCTTATTTTTAAACCTTACACGTAATGCTAATTCTTAGCAGTAAAAAAACAGTTGGACTGTGTTTTAGCTTTAACCCTAGGAAATTCCTGCAAATGAATCCTCGCTTTTGTTAGAATTTGAAACTGTTCTCATCTCTTCACCATGAGTGGAGGCGATAACATAAGGGATCTAATTCAGTGTGAACGTTTTTTAATTTAGGTTTTCAAACACATTGAGAGCTCAAAGCCATTTTCTGGAAGTAAATCTCCAGACCTGGTGGTTTTGATAACTATATTTATATTCACTACCGAAACATCTTTTATTACGATATGGCTTTGTTTTTTTTGTTTTTTTGGTTAATAAGGTTACAAAAGTTTCAATCTGAAAAACTCACACGAAGAGACGATTAGGAGAAATTTATTGATACAATAACTTTGTCTTTGGCGCTCAGACCTCGGTAGGAAACACAGCACTTAATTATGATTGATATGCATGAACAGGAGCAAAGAATAGGTCTGTTTTCCCCCCAGGCCTTAAACTGGTGCTGGAGTGGAGATAGATGAAGTTGGTCAGTTTGTAGACTGCTGGTTAGTGAGACGGTCTGCTGAGCTTTATGGGGAGATCCAGTGGAATGCGTGAGCTGATTCTAGAGCTTCACTTAGGGACCTGGAAGATGGAAGTCCAGTTGGATAACACAGGTTGAGAGAACCTGTGCATTACGAGCAAGCAAGAGGGGAGTGTGGAGAGGAGAAACTCCCCGTTGGGAAGAAACCTCTGGCGGAACCAGGCTCAACATGGCGGTCTTCTGCCGGATGAGACAGGGAACGCAGTAAGAGTCTGGGAGGAATGAACTCTGATGAAGCTTTAGCTACGATGGTGGAGGAGGGGCTGGAGGTGGGTTGAAACTGTGTCATTTGAATGAAGTCACACAGCGCATCCGCCGCCTGCGCACAGGAGCAGACTAGTGCAGATAGGAGGCCTTTTAAGATGAACTTTGGATGCTGATTGGCTTTTGTGGAGGTGTGGTTCAAAGCTGATTGGCTGTGTCGCAGGTAGATATAAGAGAGCAACTAGTTTCTTCAGTTGAACTTTCGCCTAGGCTCCATTTCAAAAAGCTTAGGGTAACGTCTTCTAATTTGTCAAATGATATGTTTCACCTTTTTTTTTTTGTCTTACTATTATGTTTGTTTATTCTGACCCACTGACAGCAAAGTTTACAGTTGCACTGAAGTATATGGTTAAAAACCTCCTGGAGTATTTGATGTAAACATTGAGACTGTTATGAATGATTCAAATGTGTCTTTTGAGCTTTTTGTGAGAAATGTGTCCTGGATTTAACTCTAAACAAGCAAAAAGCAGAAAATAAAAACATGTTGGTTCAATATGGTTGCTTGAGTGTTAAACTAAAATAAATGATTTCCTGATGTTCATTTTCAGGCAATCTTCCCTCTTCAAGCGGATACTAAACACACCTACTGAAAATAAAAATCTATGGTTTATCACTAATTTCACTTGATGTAAAAGCTAAATATTGCATTTACATGTTTTAATTTTTTACAATTTGACGTCTCCTCTATGGATGCTCTTTCTTTGTTTTCTAAATATGTTTCTAATTTATGTCTGTGTACAGTATACAGGTGCATTTTGAGCCTGTTTGCTCGATAAAGTGATAATAATGATAATGACAATAAAGACTCTTGATTCCTGATTGATATTTTCTTTGAAGATAAAAGGCTTCTCTAACCACAAAAGAAAAGAGATGTGGAAAATGCAGGGGATTGTTGACACATGAAAACATCAAAACAAACAACCATTACCAAGCAGAAATCCCTGGAGCTCCTTCAGTGTTGCTGCCAACCTTTGGGCAGATTCCTCTGATCTGCTTCCAGATTAAATCGGGTGAATGTCCAGTTCTTGATCATGTTACTGTTGACCCATATGTTCTTATCATTGACTGATACCTTTGAAAGCATTTTGGTCTTTTGTAACTGATCTGGAAAAATGGATTCAGCTAAAGGATGCAGATCAATCAATGTCGTACTTAGATAAGCATATTTTTTTCTTTGTTTATTATAATTTATGGCTGCTTGATGATTAAGAATTTAAACCCAGAGAAAAACTGCTGTTCTTCCAACAGATGTATTTTATTATGTCAAAATGAAACTGATATTGCAATTCTGATATTTCTTCTTCTTTGTCGATTTACGAATATAGAAAGTTTTATTTGGCAAAACTTTAATTTTTCCCACAAAGATTTAGGGAAGAAAAGTTTTAAACGTCTTCCTTTACTGTTTTTGACTCGTTTTTGCAATCAGACTTTTCCTCTGTAACACATTTGGATTAAGAGTTCATTTCAGGAATCTGTGAGCTTTAGACAGGTCAGTTAACAGATCCTGCATGTGAATAACTCCTTTTGAAGTTGAAATCTTATAAAATTGGGCAGGACATACAGACAAAAATCTATTTAACAGAAAACATTTTTTTAGGTTTAGAAAAAATTCATAAAAAACAACTACATAAAATGAGAGAAAGCTTTTAATTTTTACATTTGAGGCCTGCAATTATAAGGAGGTATAGAGAACTCAGCTTTAATTACATAAACATGTTATTCTATGCCTCTAAAGACAAATGTAAAATGGTTTAAGACTCTGGTGAGTTGAAGAAAGAAAGCATCAAATGTCTCTTAAAATGTGAAAGGGTTTTCAGTTGAGAAAGCAGGACTGATTCAGATTTATTTTGTTTTGATATGCCAGGTGTTCATATGAAAAGAATATTTATCTGTTCACCTGCTTGTGTTCCTCACAGCTACACACGGCGCGTAGTTGGGAATGGAGTCAGGGCCCAGAGTACCAACCCTGAAGTCAAAGTGAAAGGAGAAGACCCTGTGATAAACCAGATCATTGACAAACTGAAACACATCAATCAGGTAAGATTATTTCCTCCTTCATGGATGTTATAGAGAGCTGCATGGTTTGCTCTCATTTCCTTGAAATCCATATTTTCACGGTTCAGTTAGTCAAAGATGAGGTAACTATGTCCTCTGGAAATCTGCTAATTCCCTTTGCTGCTCTGTTAGTCTTTCAGAAATGCAGATGCCTCTTGTTTATAAGACTAAAGCCTTTCACTCTTAACCTTAAATTCTCATCTAAAATCATTTATTTGTACCCTCTGTCATATTTCCAGTAAGTAACAGCATAATGAAAAAGAATCTGAAATGCAGAATCATTCCTAAGGTGATGAATGAAAAAGAAAATCAATCATTACACATTTAGAGCCCCATTTGGTCTGGTTTGTGTGCCTCCATATTTACAAAATTCTTTTTTCTGCTCTATGTCAAAATCAATGTGGCATTTTCTACCTGCCAGTCTACCTTTATGTGCATTTGTGCTGCCATAACACCTCTCAGTGCTGTTTATCTCTCCAGATGATGAGATTAGAGCAGTTTACGGGAGCACTTTTCTTTCCTCCTGCCTCAATAACAGCTGCTCTGGCTACATTCAGGCTGTCGAGCTGCAGCGGCAGTTTCAGATGTCTGCCGCTTTGGTTTCCCAAGTGGCGGACTGAAGGCCAGGTCATCTCTCTTGACCTCCTACTGGCACCTCCTCCTTCACTAATTCTCACCATCTGTGGGGTGTCAGAACACATAAATCTATATCATAACCATCTGAGAGGCTCTGTTGTGCCTGGTTGACATTCACTCTGTGCCTTTTTGCTGTTTGCATTTTAAATGTGTTTCCTCATGTGTCCTTTGGCCCTGTGAATATTTAGTTGCAGCAGGAAAGATTGTTTTTTAATCTTAAATACTCAGGGGTGGCTTGACTGATTTGGAAATGGTTTATGTGATTTACTTTAAATACCATGGAACAGATTATGATTATGAGCTCTACCCAGATTATATAATCACCTACAATCTGCTGAGGCCAAGTATTTCGGCCGGTGCCATTTCAAACCCAATGTTGTTCTTTATGCTCCAAAGCTTCTGGTTTGGCTCTTCTTATTGCATAAGATTCTGTTCCCCATATCTTTATAAATATGTCTGTTATTATCTTCTAGATTTTTTCCACTGCTTTCTATTACATTTAAATTATATAATTTAAGCAAGAATGATAGAATTGTTTAAAAATCAACAGGACGGCATCGTTACATGTAAAAGAACATTTAAGTACAGCTTTCACCACAGATATTGGTTTGCCTGCTGAAGATTAATTAAAGAAAGATTTAAAAGCGACTCAGTCGTTTTTGCTGTAGCAAAATCTAAGATAAAAAAGAGAAATCCAACTTTTAAATTGAATATTTATTTGTTGAAGGAAGACATCTCTATATGTAGCAGAAAAAAATTAATAATTTCTCATTTTTAAGTTGATCACAGGGATTTTTATGTAACACCACAAATGTGGTGTGACTCAGAAGCTCATTGGTCATTTTGTAATTTGAAGGGTAGGAGAACGTGCCATCCTACACTGCAAAATCAATCTAGAAATAAGTAAAAAAATTTTAAATTAGTGTATTTACCCTTAATTTGAATAGGTAAATAAGATGATTTGCCAATGGCAATGTTTATTTTAGGAGTATTTTACTCCTAAAATAAGATAATTAGATAATATACACTTGAAATAAGACACAGCCATTATTTTGTCTTATTTTAAACGAAAATTGTCTTGTTCCATTGGCAAAGTGTTAATTTAAGCAAAAGAATTTTTGTTTTGATTTCCATTTTTTGCAGTGTAAAAAGGTAAATGTGCTTTGCTTCTCATGAGTCTTGGAATTTATAAAGGAAAATAACCAAAGGTATGAGTTTTTTTTTCTTTTCTCTATCAAAACATGAAATAAAATGTGAAGGAAACAAAATAGAATTTGGAAAAACAGAGTTGGACTAAGACCTTTACCACCCACCTACTTACACACCCACAAAAGAGAGAGAATTAAGAGGTGGAACAATCATCCAACACTTACTTTTGGAGACCTACAGCAATTTAATGTGTAAATAATAAATAAGTGAACACAAGTACATAAACAAAAAATGGATATTTGAAAGAGAATAACAAAAATTGCAAATGTATTTTCATTATCTATTTTTTTCTTTCACTCAACTTATTAAGTAGGTAGGTGAAAAAATTTGGGACATTTACTTGTTAAAAAAGATATAATTAAAATGGGTTCCACTAATATTAGACCACTTAGTTTGTAGAAATATGCTTGTATACAGTATAGAATAGTTCTTTGGGGTTAAATATACCTAACAGATCTCATTTAAGCAGATCCCCATTATGACAAGATCATTACTTCTTTTTTTTAATACTTGGCCCATTTGCAGAAAGATTGAGACTTTAAACGGAGAACAACGTGAGCTGCCGTTTTTAGAAGTCGTTAAACCAATAATGACCAAGAATAACAGAATGTCATGGCAGTGATGGAGCACTGTAATTTGACAGACTTAATGTCATTCGCCTTTTTTATGAATACACATGGATGCACACGGTTGAGCTATAATTGGGAAGCAGTGAGCCAAAACCAGAGACAAACGGCCTGTTGACCAGTCTTAAAATGGGATTTGATGCGCTTAATTTAACTTGGTGTTTTGGCCAGAGAGCTTGCAGAGGTCAGGATTTCTAAACCTCATGCAGTAAGCTGTTTGGAAAGGGTTGGAAAACCAAAAGGCTTTTTGGGGGATTTTGCTGCATATTAATGTGTTTTTTATGATACTATTTTTGCATGAACAGTGATTGATGAGTGGGATGTATGTCGTTAAGGTGCTATTGGACCAGCCTACATAATGTGATGTTTAGGACAAATTAGAATGGATGAGTAGATTACTTGATTACTTAGATTGTCCGACAACGTTTTTGTGCCAATTTTGGGGAAAAAAGGATTGATTTAAGTGTTTTATGATTTGATATTGGGCTATTCACACCGATTAATCAAATTTTTTTTTAAACCCATCCCCTAATGTAATGCTTTTTTTTAAACCTCTTTCAAAGTCAACTATTGGCACACAAATTATAATCTATATCCTTTAATAATACAGACTATTAATTTGTTATGAAAGGTAGTTGTTTTCCAACCTAGAAGAAAATATACTTCTCTGTGTCTGGGTGTTGTCCTTTTCATTAGGTTGCCATATCCCTCCACTTCTGAAGGCTGAACATAGTCCGAGAAGTCTCCATGTCAGATGTCTCAGACTTTGCCTCAGTATTCATTTGGATAACTCAGATATTTCAAGCAGAACAACACTGTTTCTATGATTTTGATAAATGAATGACATTACTAATTGACTTTATATCATAGGTAAAAGTTTTAAAAGTTGATTATGCGTAAGATAGGTCCTTTAAAGAATATTTTATGTGGTAATCTCTCTTTTTTTAATTTCTGTATCATACAAGAATAACATTTAATGTTTGAATATCCAGATATGTTAGAAAAACATAAAAACCTAAAACTAACTAACCTAAAACTAATGGGTTCTGCAGGCTGAACCCTGCTTTCCAGTCTTTTGCTCCCCGTCTCCCATGTTTCCTCTAACCTGCACAAACACACTACCACACAAATAGGATCTCGGAGAAGAGATCGTGAGCAGGGCTGGTCCTCCCCTGCTGGTGGTGTCCTATGCCCCGATTTGAATGAACACCCTAGCCAGCATCATTTAAAACATTTCCAAGACATGTGTAGGGCATCGGGGGTGGGCATGTTTGGGGCACTGGAGGTGGGTAAGCCTTTCTGGCTTGAACACCAAGGTATTTCTACCTTGGTGTTCACTTGGACAACAAACTAGACTGGAGACACAACTGTGAAGCCGTCTACTAGAAGGGACAGAGCGGATTTTACTACCTTAGGAAGCTTAGGTCCTGATTTCTTCTTCATACCTCTGCTGGGGTAACAGTATTAGCGATGGTGTTTAAAAAAAACCAAAAACTCAACAAGCTATTTAAGAAGGCCAGCTCTATGCTAGGAACTCCTCTAGAACCTGTTGAGTTACTGAAAGACATTTAATTTCCCTTTGGGATTAATAAAGCAGAGTGGTGGGAAGATCCTGATTATGGAAAAAATAGAGAGAAATGTGAGGAAATTATAATTAGTGGTAATCAGATATTTCAATAAATCATAAGGAAATAACTCATCATTTAACAGTTGTTTAGCTTTACTTCTCAAACAAATCTCAGGTAATCTGGACCACCTGGTTTTCTAATCCGTTTGCTCAGCAGATTTCTCGTCTGCTGCAGAGATGACTTGATCTTGTTAATTAATCACATTAAAGCCACGTCACTAATAAAACCCCCCCCACTATGTATAGTGTGAGGGCACTGCATTTGCACTGGGTATATTTGCTTTTAATGGGTGTTTTTAAAGTATTTCACGGCTGAAAAAATAGGTACAAATGAAACCACTGCGCTATTTTCTTTTTCAGAATATCTAGACAATTTTGTATTTATCTTTGGTTACTTAGACATGTTTGTAGTCTTATTCCAACTATAAATAACCCTAAGTTGGTCTCCAGTTACTCCTTTTGTTGTTGTTTTTTTTTCCATCTGAGGTTCCGTGTTGTGATTACGTACCAGCACAGCATGCTTTGTAGTCTAAATGCCACAAATTAACATCCCTTCTTCTACTTAGAAACCCGTAACAAAGGTGTTACAAGTACCGTATATCAGCTCCAGTGAGAAATACAAATATCTCCCTGGCATAGCAATACATATTGGTAATTAGTCCCAGGAAATATTATAAGTGCAAATGTAAAATGTCAGACTGTTTTTGTTAATTAGAAGAAACATAAAAACCATGTTGTGTGTTCTGTTGTACTCATTAAATTGTACAATTGTGGTGTTTAAAGTACTTTAGATTCTATGAGAGACTGCCAATCAACCCATTGCCATTATTGTAAATAATATTTTTATACTCAGCTAAATCTTTAGTGTCATAGTAGTTATAAAT